AGTAGATTAGATAACTGACTCATGAATTTAAGCATGAGAGAAAAAATATGTAAATGCGATCTATTTGAATGAATGATTTCACGGTATAACTATTTCGGTTTTTCCGACACATATCCAACGATGAAAGCTAAAATGCGCCCATTCAAAATACCGCAAATCAATTTTTCTTCTTTAATGTGACTAGGTAGACTGTTCATCTTATATAATTAACAAGTAAACATTCCTCAGTTATAGCTATAGATAGCAGTTAAATAATCACCTGTTGGATAGTGTGGAAAGTGTTCAAAAAAAAAGAAGAAACGAGAGAGCCGAAAAGTAGATATGGACATAACCTTTCTGATAAGTCCAAAATCCATCGACAATTCCGGTTTCCTTCCGCATCTGAAAGAGCTATTGGCCAGTGTTAAATTACAGGTTGATGAATCTTCTGAGGAAAACTATACTTAATTAATAATTCAATTCGCATTTAAAATTCTTTTTACACAGCGAGAAATTTGATATTTTTCCACTTCACTTCACTAGTACCGTCTGCCATTAAATCAGTTCTCTTGTCGAAAACATGAATTTTAATCCCTTGAGCGACCGATGAAAATAAACTTAAGTGTCCGTTCACTTTTCTTGCGATGTTAACATTGTCTCATAGTTAACTTGGACCATTGTATTGGGCTGGCCCATCTGAGTTTTTTTCAAAAACTTTGTATATGAATTGTAATTTCAAAAGTTTATCAATTCATTTTTTGCTGGGAAATCCAAAAGTGAATTAAATCCATCAAGTTAACTGATATATACGAGATAAATTTAGAAAGCTGATTCTGTAATGCATAATGAAACTATTAGTAAATTGTACTGGAAGAACAGAAAGTGTATAAAACTTCTTGTCTTTATTTCACTTTCTTGTTTTGGTTTGGAAACAAAACAAGAAAAGAATAAAGGAGTGAGGATTTGTTTTTATTTCAATTTACCTCACAAATTGTTTGCGAACACTTTGTTTCCATTTAGTACATATGGACAATGATATTTATATTTGATATTTTGAGAGGAAGGTTTGATTATTCAACAAATACTTTTTGTAGTTTCCATTGGTGGAGAACAACTTCTGATTCACTGTTTTTGATCAAGGAAACATCCTTCGAAAATTGAAAATAAAGTCTCTTCCCCAACTTATGTATAAATATGGTTCAGACTAGTAAGGTACTTAAACGTAATATCTGGGCTCCTTACGATTATCTTTAAAGAAATTCCGAAATTAAATAATAAATGTAGTTGTGTTGCTAAAGTACAGATAATTGCAGATAGCGGGCCTAATCGACGAATCAGTCTCCGATCAACCAACACTGAAACGTTTCTCACGACACAATCAATCGATGCATTTCCAATCGTCCTCGCATATGTGTCACTTGGAACCTGGTTCTTCTCAACAACAGCAACCGCATACGTGTTCCAAATTGTATGTGTTATGCATGAAATACTTAATCTAGAATGGACTAATTTGTTAGAATACTTTATTATGCAAATAATATCCATTATATGGCTCCGTTTTGAAAGAAAAGGAGTTCTTGCGATTACTGGAACTTCAAATTATTGAGACTTTTGAATTTCCAAGGTTAAGATTTGGAGAAATATTAGGTTATTATAAAAGTAATTGTGTTTTTTGTGTTGTTGAATATCACTTCTTTACATTGAAAGATATTTTCAAATCAAATTATATATCATTTTTAGCGGTAGCGGTTATTACTGCAAAAGGCTAAACATATTGTGCCCGAGAATAAGATCTTGAAAATATCCCGTGAACTTTCGAAACATTAAAGTTGAGCAGGAATAAAAATTGATTTGTCTATTTATTCCGGTAAATCTGAGAGTCGTAAGTTCGTGAAAATGAAACTAATATAATTGCAGTAGCTGTCGACTGAAAACGGGATTCTTTAGTGGAAATTGGACATTGCGTGGTAAAAAGGAGCTGAAAATGCGCCCATCTGTGCATGACATAACTGTTGTACAGACTGGAAAGTCGTAAGTATTTTTCTATCAATCATTTGTTTGCTCTATTTTATTGGTATATTTATGTGCACTCGTAGATTTTAAATTAAAACGAGTTTAGTACCGAAACCATTTCAATCATTTAATGTACTGCTCTGACCCCTTCTACAGATACCGTTAAGGTTTGGCGGAAATAATCCAAGGGACAATAAATAACAGATTATACAAAAATAAAAGTAGTGCCAGAGATTTTATCGCTGTCGTCCTCTGCAAGAAAACTACCTGATCAAAATCCTAAAATATCGGTCAATTGACAATGTAATGGCGTTAGACAAGAGTTAATAATATGCCATCATTGAATTCTTTTCAGTACCATGCGCTATAGCTTCTCTTTATTTTTAAACTTTTGATATTCGAATTTAAGCGGAAACGTATAGCTAACATATTGAATACGAAGCATTATTAAATCTATTGATTGCTATTAATAATGAAAAATTCAGGTCATCGAATTTAACAGAAGAATCGCCGTTGATATTGGGTAGTTCGACCAGATCAAGCTTTCAACTGTCACTTCAACATCACTTTCAATATCATCAGTGCTATTCTGTGAACAGTCCTGAACCCTCTGATTATATTCATAGTAACCATCCCGCCTCGATAAATGACCACCGTATATCGCCAGTATCTCCTCATCTCAGAAACTTCACGTTTGTATTTCGTAAAGTTTGTAAAAGTGTTCAAAATCAATTATTCGAGTCGGAAGATAAACAAACAAAATTGTTTGAAGATTTGATACGTCCCTTCTTGTCTTAAATTAAAGAAATGTTACACAGTGTCACCGATAGTTAACACCGTGAGCTCTTCCAGAAACCACTGTGAGTAACCACAACAATACTGAGTGGTTAACCGTTCTAGTACATTATTTATTAGTAGAATGTGTCCAACACCATTATCGTAGTGTATCAATAAAGCTGTTTTGGAAAGTTTACCGTGATTTGATTAGGTAAAGAGAAGGATCGATCTCAGATAATGACCCTTAGTTCCAGCACTCAACCCCATTTCTTCCTGTACATCCACTTCTATTAAAATACTAAATTTAGTTTATACAATCATATTTTCCTAATTTCCACATTTCAATCATTGGTCTGATTTATCAACTAACCAAAGGATGCAATTTTTCTGCAACTCGCAAAGAGTTCGATTACACCAGTTATTGTTATATTTTCGTCTCTTCCTGTACATCTACTTTTATTAAAATATTTTCAATTGTAATCATTTGTACTAATTAATATTCAAAACTAAAAAACCCTTATTTGGACTATTTCAAAGACAAATCTCGTTTTGAATTTGTTACATTTGTCAACTGGAATGATAGTTTCAAGGCTGCAGAATTTTCAATATTCTGTGAAACATCGAAGATCGAATCAAATAGAAGAGAAATAACAGGAGGAGAAGAAAAGTGAATTTGTTGACAGGATGCGACAAGGTCATTGTATCTTAATTCCTCAGCTGCATTTCTTTTTCACCGCTATTTCACCTAAAATTATCAGTTTGATGAACCTCTGAAATCGCTTTTTTTTCTCCAAAATCTAAAATTCATTCTTTTGAAATATTTTTGCAATAATTACATATCGCTGTTCCGTCCTCATTCTTAATAATTTCGCTTCACTGCAGTCAGAGATATGACTCATATTTGTCTTTCATTATTCTCGGACAGTAATGCTTTATCACTATCGTTTCCTCATAGCTAAACAAGTAATATCAGTCAAAGACTTTAATTAAAGTGAATTATTCTTCTGAAAAGTATTTCTCTTTTCCTGGATAACATCGCAAGCATAACATCATCCAACATAGGTTCCGACTTAGTCCACCGGCATTTAACATATATTTATTCATTGGAACTGGTAATTCCTTGATTCACTTACATTTTCATGGAGAACATTCAAATTTAAAAAGCTGAGACTTTAAAGCATTTATGGAATTTTCTGTTGTGTTCATTTTGTCGATATCAGTATAGGATTAAAACAAGAACTAGAAAGTCGAGTGATTGGATTTTACTTGATTCATTAACATTTCCATGGAGAACCATTCAAATCTGTTACTAAATATTCCTAATAGTCCTTAATTAATTAATAGGCAAATCTGTCATTTCTAACTTGTGATTTACATCATATATCTTCTAGCGACTTATTAAGAATTTATTTCAGATAACGGGAAAATTGGATGACATAACACAAATCCTTTCTCATATTTATTTTCTTTCCTTGTTTTTTCCGGGCCATAAGATTTCCGTTTTATTGGACGCTGCGTTTTTATGACTTATTGATAAATTTATTGGCTGCAAACGTCGTACCACTTTATTATATACATCTTCTCTTTCTGGTGTTCCCAGCAGTTCTTTGTTCATGTTATATCAGTCCTGTAGTTAATTATCAAAAAGCTACCGGTTTTATTGGTTTCGGTTTTCATTCTTTAGAAAAGTTAGCATTGCATAAAGGGATCCAAGAAAACAGTTCGGACTTCGTTAAATAAAATGTTTTCCTGTTTCATGTTTTCAGTATCAATCAAATAATTATTTGCTAGCTATTGATATGTAAAATTATTAAAGATTTTAAGATGTATAATTTGCAGATCAAACAAGTTTTATGTTGATTCGGACAGGGAATCAAGACGAGCACTAGCGGAAACAATTCACACCACAAAAACCCCACCACAACTTTCCCCTGTTCCCGAAAATTTTGCTCAGCTTTCGACAAGAAATCCCTCCATAGCAACTGGGCAATCTGGCCTTATCGTTCCAGTTGAACTTACGACTTCCAACGGTCAGAATCAGTTTGTTTATTTGTTTATTTTATATATTTCCTTTTTATAATTTAAAAAACTACTTACAAAGTGCTGAAACTCATGTAATCAATACAACATTTTCCCTAAATATAATCTAAACCGTGAGGACATTATTTTTTTTAGCTTCAATTTATTGACTCAATACTTTTGATTGAATTAAAATTTCCTATGCTTTAGAACTTTGCAAACATTATTTGTAGACTATCTTAGTTCACATTATGTTAGAATTAAAAAAAAACCGAAGACGAAATGATATCATAACAAGCAATATCAAAATAAGATTATAATTTAAATAGCACAAAATTAGGCGTTGATGAAGAACAGGAAGGAAGTGTAATGTTTATCAGTAAGGCGTAGTCAGAAAAAAATTTCATTTAGATTGATAGTTCAATTCAACAACTGAATCCTCTGATAATTTATTTTGGTAATGAAAATGAGAATATGAAATTGAAAAAGAAGAAAGAAAAGTAGGATCTAAGAACGCAGAATTTTTGTTGTTTTTTAAGGAAGGATGGAAAAAAGAAAAAAAACTTTGTCATATAATTTATCATCGAGCATTACTGAACATTACTGAATATCCTGAGATTAATAAATAGATTTCGAAGGTCATGATAAGCTACCATATTATCGGTGTTTGTAAGGCTTCTTGGTAAAATATAGAAAATAATATTTGTCGTATTTCCAGTTTTGTCGCAGTTTTTCACTCTCTCTAATTTCGTTCGGAACCTAAAAAATCTTGAAAGATGAAATTAGAAATAAAGGAGGGATATTTTTGAAGTGCATTTTCACAGTTTGAAATATTTTCAAAAGATGGAAATTTTGTCATTTTAAGAAATACTGAAATGGGAAACATTGCTTAGAAAATGTAATTGACTTACGAAAAGCTAGAGTATTTCTTTGTTTCGAACGTTAGAAAAAATGAACTGATTTCTAAAATTTTCTGTATGGAGGATAAGGGATGATAAAGATGGAGTTAAAAATAGTCAAGTCATGGAATTTCATCAATTCCAGATTTCAGACCTTTTTGGTTATATTTGTAAATTTGTTGTTAGCGTGGGCTCAAATGACAGTTAAAAAAGCGGATTTCATATATGCATATACTTGAAGGAGAAATACTTGTTGTTTTTCTGGAAGATTGCAAGTGGGAAGTTACCTGGAAGTATTTTCGGTTGCATGTACCTATTGAAAATTCTCACTTCTCCGTTTTTATGGTTTATTTTTGATGACAAAGTAAATTTTATACAACTTTTGCTTAACATGCTAAACACTAATAACTATTGAATAATTTCTTCATGTGTTTTATCTAAGAGAGGATGGTTTACATGCAATGAGTTATGCACGATTGAAATATTTTCTTAATTTTTGATTATATCCAATTTTTTCCTAAAATTCGTCATTTTAATTTCAATGCTTAAATTTTGATTTTTATAATTTCTTTCAAAAAGACGAATAAGTCTTCTTGATATTTGATAAACCATTTTTGTTGGTGCAAAAACCAAATATCATCCGGTTGTTATTCATTTCGCACCTGTTGCTAAACATTTTTCAGTATTTTTTTTAATGGATAAACCAGTTGTTAGAAGGATGGCAGAGACAAAAGAAGGCTTTATAAATGTTCAGTAAATACAGTCGTCTTCAATTGTCGCTAAATTACATCTATTTTCTTTCATTTTTAATTCTTATTCGTCATACCTTTTCTTTTTTCTCAGCAATTTCGTAATAGTTTTAATGAAAAAAAGAAGAAACATCTGTTCACAAGCATAGATAATTCAGTTCCAGCGAAAGTGATAATTCAGTACAAGTAGTTCAAAAGTTCTAAAATTTTTCATCTGGTGGTTAAATATTGCAAAGTTGGAATGAAAATAATCATTTACTAAGAAAAGAGAATGCTCCTAGTTTGTTTAACACATTTATGTCATTCACCACTTGCTACAACTGTCATGACCTCTGAAAATCAGAGTAGAACTCCCATAGAAGCGATACCTTTTAAGCAAGTCACTTCAAATGATTATTTTAATTTTTTAAATAATTTTCCTCTTTTTTCGATTGACAGTAAAAATAAATAATACTATGGGTAGTAATTTGCTTTCTTTACCTTTTCAATCCTTCGCCGTCCCACAGACCATTCACACTTACCAGACCTTTCAAGAGTCCTTTCGTAATGGCATTGTTACGGAAAGTGGACTCTCCGACCAATGTCTTGGGCTTTCTCCTTACCTTAGCAGAAGAAAATTGACATCTCGATGCCGAAATTCATTCAACATCGCTCCAAACTGAGCAACAACAACAGGTACAGATACAATTGAACTGACCAATGAAAACCAAAGGCTCTTCTCAGAGTCAACAAAAACAGTAGTAAAACAGAAATGTCCACTCATTCATATGTCAGACGATGATTA